GTAGATTATAATTAAATTTTAGTACTATACATTACTCAATTTCTTAATTGAAAAGCAAATATAAAAAAAACAGAGATAAACATCAACTTTTGTGTGTCATGTGGTATGTTGAATGCAGCACTGGTTAAATTAGATGTTTGTGAAGTCAAAATACTAAGTCTATAGTTTCGCACCAATTACAAATTTAAATTACCAATATTGATAAGCTAGAATATAAAATAAGAATGTCTTTTCTATTTGCTAAGATATTGCTCATGTAATAAATCAAACACAGTGGCACCCCACCCACCTCTTTCCATTTTTGGAAACGCTTACTTATATACACTTACTTCTATATATTACATGAATAACCAATTGGAAGCTCAGAATGTCCCCTAGTGTCTTTCTCAGCCATTTTAATGGGCTTAGATGCCATTTCTTTCTTTTGAACCAATATTTCAACGAGGTAGGGTGTGTGTCTTTAGTCTGCTCGAAATTTCATATTTTTTAGACAAAAATACATCTTAGTTACTAAGCTTGATAAATTATTGTGGAATTCTATGGTATTGATGTAGTGATTTATGATTTTTTAGTTACTCAAATGTATAAAAAAAATTTTGTTTCATATCCTCCACGTGCAAAATTTTTAAAGGCTTAGCAACCTACGTCAAGCAGCAACTGAGTACAAAGGTCATAACTAGAAAAGATAGTTGTTTGCTTTACTTCTTTATTTACTTTTCTGTGTTTTAAGAAAAATAAGTTTAAGAACTTATTTCAAAATAGCAATAATCTGTATACATATATACACACCCTGTATCATCCTTAACGTTTCAGTATTAATAGATTGTTGTATATTGGCTATAGTACATGAATGGTCCCCCATTTATGAAGAAACTTGTTTATTCAGTTTGTAGCAATTGGTGATTTATTAGTGATATGCTGTCTGTGTTCCTGGTATAACTTTACTAACATGGACTATTAGTTCTTTTAATTTCTCAGCTAGTTTGTTAATGTACTTTTGGTGATTTGAAAAGTTTTTTATTCTATGTGTTGTGATAAATTATTGTGCTACTGTTTTTGGTAACTTATGATTTCAAGATAATTTACTTCCTTATTAGATTAAAACCTTCTTCTGTTTTCTTTTTCAAGTTAGAGTCCTGCTTTTTTTGCCATGTTAAGTGAAATAGTACTTAAAACTACACCCAATACATTTTAATTACTTTTCTATTGTTTATCTTTCTGGAAGCCAAAGTATCTTCTGTTTCTGTACCTGTAACTTGTTCATAATATTAGCATTCTTATTTTCTATATTGGATATTTGGATTAGCTTTAATTTTGATCAAAATTATATCTTATTATGGTAAACTTACACAACAGCATAAATGGTCCAAGTAATATATATAAAAAACGTCTTCCTTGTCTCCCTCTTCTGTCACAGAGCTGCAGCAAGGAATTGACTGGTTCAAATAATATGTAAAAAACAAATGTTCCCTCCTCTTGTGTCAAAAAGCTGCAGCAAGGAGCTGTTACAGATGAACTCTTCTGTCACATTTTTACATGTTAAAGATGTAAATCTATCAACCAAAAACTGGTTAATATGCTTGAGAAGTTATTAGATAATACAAATGAAAACCATTGTAAATGAAATTATTTTTTACTTACAACTTTCCATTGTATTAGGAAATGTTTATTTTTTTAAATCAACTGATCACTTGTATGTATTTCACTTGTAAGTTGTGTTTTTTTTTTTGTAGTTACTCATGTATTGAAATAATATATTTTAACTTGCAGGAAATGATTATTGACAAAGTTGATGGGAAAAATGTTCCACGTTACCTTGTATATGACATTGTTAAATTTGAAGTAAGTATGTCTTTACAGAAAACAATAAATATTTCAGTTACACAAACAGGGTAGGGAAAACGTTACTATACGGTCAGTATAGTATCATACGGTTGGTACTAAAAATATTTGGAAAATAAGATAACGAAAGATAATTGAAATCAATTTAATCATTGTTTGTTTTAGAATAACAGGCTAGAAATTAAACTATGTTCTGAATGAAACACTGTATAGTAACTTTTATCCATTACATATATATATATTTGTGTATATGTATATATATATTTGTGTGTGTGTCACAGAACTTGAGGTTGTACAGCCACGTAATCGTCTGTTATTTCAGAGTCCTAAACTGGAAAAAAATATTGTAACAAATTAAAATTTCAGATGAGTTTTAATTTAAAGGAACCCTCTGATGCATTACATTATTTAGAAATTTTAGGCCCACTTTATATGATCATAGAAACCATTTTTGTTCTTTAAATTAGGTCTTGCTTTTGCATAATTGTCTAATCTGTGGTATCAGATTGTGAAATTGACTTGCTAAAGTGTTTAAGCACATTGTTTTGTTTAATGTTCTGTAGGGTAATGAATGGTGACTGTCAAAGGTCCGACTAAAATACAGTGTTACTAATGTTGACACTACAGTCATTTTGTTTATTCCTCCATTATTAAAAGTATTATCAACTGTACACAATGAACTTGTAATTCTAGTGTAACTTGAGGCTAGGTTAGTTCAGATTAAAACTTAGTCGTGTTGTTTGAAATGCCAACAGCTTGAAAATTTGTGCTAAATAAACAAAAACATATCACATGATATCACTGTAATATTCCTGCGTATAATTATTATACTCCTTCCAGCAAATTAAATATACAAAATGGCAAATTACCACAGTGGTAAGAGTAATTACTAACACAGTAGTTTCTATAATATAAAGCTATGTGTCCATATTATCAATAGTTAGTATGCTATAAATTTGATTATACTTGTGCCACTTGTAGGTTTAAGTCAACTTAAGATTTTGAGAAACATGTACTGTTTTACACCTTACGAAGAATATTCTTATGAACAAATCGTGTTGACCACTAACAGTAAGCTAATTTCATTGAACAGTGTTATACATAAAAATTTTCTCTAAATTACAATTTGGTTTTTAAAGTATTTCCAACAGACGCAGTAATTCTTTGTACAGGGGTGGGGGTCAAAGTGTACGTGTCATGACTTTTACAGAGTTACATTCAACGTATAATTAAACAACTTTATTATTGATGTATGGTAGTAAACTTGGCATTGAAATGTATTTTATAATTCAAGTTTCCATATTATATGAGGTTTCATTTGTTAATTTTAAAAAAGAAATGTTTAAATAAATTCTCAGTATTCCCCTATATGTATCATTGCCTCACTTCTCTTAATTCACCATTTTTGATTTTCTTTCTTCTCTTAAATGAGTTTCATAACGTCCATCAATTAGATACATCAGTTATATATACTCAGGGGTCAGAATTTTAAATAAGAACCTCCCACTTTTTCTATTTTGTGATGTATCGATAAATTTATTACACCACCAAAACACACTCCTATCAACTCTTCATGCTTTTAAATTTATTTATTTACTCACACTTTTTTTTTTGAGTGAAGACCAAAGTTCAGTGCTTCAGTAAGTAATGAAACTTTTTTATATCTTTTTTTTTATATAAGACACTTAGAAAGTCAGATAAATTATAGCAGTTTTGAAGCATTCTGTTTAACTCTTTGGATTATTATTTGAGTTTTAAAATACATGTTTGAAAGCTACTTAAATTATTTTATGGACAAACAACTTAGTGAGAAAAATTTAGGGTTAATGAAGATTGACTTCTGAGAGCAGTGGAAACAGTTTTAACACCAAGATTGATATAAATTATCTGCATTTTTTGCACGTGTATTTTGAAAAATGAAGATGCCAAGCCTCTCCAGGTCTTCTTCCCTTTTTTTATTAGTTAATGTTTGTATCAGTTCATTTTAATTTTGCATTTATGCTGCTTTGACATTCATTTAAATTCATTTTGATCTTACTGTACTTACGAATTTGAGATTTTGACAAAAATAAGTGTAATTGTGTGAAGTTCATAGTGCTGAGTCCACTTTTTCCCATGCATTTCACCAGGAACTACATAGGTATTTTATATGTACCATAGGGATAAGTGAATTAGCTGGACAAATTATTATTTTTTCTTACAAAAGTGTTCATAATGGTTTGTAATAAATTCGAGGTCATACGATGCTAAAGATCAGATTTCGGTAATTGTGGGGGACACATCACAGATAGCTCATTGTGTAGCTTTGACCTTAACAATAAAATAATTTCTAAATATGTATCCATGGTGAAAAACATTAGGGTTCCTTCCAAATTACTTTCTTTACAAACTAATAAAATGGAAACTAGGACATGCAGCATCCGGTTGATCTGATATCTTAGCTGGTTAAAACGTCTGCCTGTTAAATGCAGCATCCGGTTGATTTGATATCTTAGCTGGTTAAAACGTCTGCCTGTTAAATGCAGCATCCGGTTGATCTGATATCTTAGCTGGTTAAAACGGCTGCCTGTTAAACAGAATTGTGAATCTGAATTTTACAAAGTATTTTCTCTTCAAAAACATTCTGTATTTCTGTTGAGCAGGTTTGAATACAGGACCTTTTGCACACAAGTATTACAAGCCAGCTGTTATGAATATCAGCATTGGTCATGTTGTTGCAGTTTTCAAACCTTTTGAAGTTGAAATCTGTTTACGTAATGCTGAAGTATTATGTTATAATAGTATTATAACATAATAATAGTAATATTATTATAATAATATAGTAACATTATAATAGTATTATAAGTATTATGTTATAATAATTGACATTTCTTCATTTATACATATTGTCAGAAAGTATTAACTGCCTATGAAATGTTTTAAATTACATTTAGATGTTGCTGATATTTTGAACACTTCTGATTTAGTATTAAACTTGAATTGAAAATAAATAGAAAGCTTTTTATATAAAGGGTCAGCAGGTGGGAGGTACAGACTTTGAACGCAGGTTGCTCTGTATCAAAAAAGAAATTATTGGTCCAAGAATACAAGCAATGGAGGAAGGAAGAATAGATCGGATGAATGAACCTTTTAGTGTTAGAGCTAAAGATTTTTGGGATATTACATGTACAAAATCTGTAAGTTCACAGGTTTTTATTTCTTTGTAAATCATTGTTGTATTTGTTGTTATTAAGTAAAGTAAATGTACCAAATAATTATTAATTTTTTATTTAAACTATGAATAATAAGTTTTAAGATACTTAAAATAAACTTGTTACTAGAAAGGTACACTCACATAAAACTGGGGATAATAAATGGATAAATTTAAAAAAGATATTTGGTGTTTGAAGATAGTCAAACATAAATTAGAAAATTTGGACATGATCGTAATGAACAAATGTTCAAAATTTGGGGCAGTTGTGTGAAGATAGCTTTTGTGTAACCTTTAATGAAAATATGAAATAAATGTTTACAGCTACTCACTTTTGGGCTGTGGGTGAATTCTATGAGTGGTGGTAAAGTCCCATTGTTTTGTTACATTAGAATATTCCTAGAATTGAGGGTGGGTGCTATTGATTTGCTGCCTTTCTTTTAGTTTATTAGTTCAAAATTAGGAACAGTTTTTTGCAGATAACTTTTGTGTAGGTTTTAATGAAAATATGAAAAAAATGATGCATTTGAAATTGATGTTCAAATAAATTAGGGAAAAAAAGATTTTGCCTATTATCTTATAGAATTTATATTTTTTAGCTACTTAGTGAAAAGTTTACAAGAAACCTGGCACATGATCTGGATGGATTAATATTTCAACCGGTACCAGATGTGAGTACTGCATTCATGAAACGTTTTGAACAGTAGTAGGTCTAAGTTCTAGTACTTAGTAGCATTTACTATAGATCAGCATTTTTCAACCTTTTTGATCCCAGAGACTGACTTTTTGTCTCCCTAAACTGTAAGGGTACAGGTGGTTGTGACAGAACTATGGACTGGTGGTTGAGAAACACTGCTTTAGCTAATCATGAGCTTGATAAAGTTGGTAATGTAATAATGACAGTAAAATTGTATCTTGAAGAGATACAATTAAATCATTGCTAACTCCAGACATATGAAAACTATCTTCATTGATATTGACTGTAAACCCCTTTCTGGATACTTTTCCTTTTGATTTATTTAGTTGTGCTTTATTTTTAAAAATATTATGTCTGAAACACTCCAGTGTGCGTTACAGCCTGGTGTTCCTAAATTTTACACTCCAGTGTACATTACAACCTGGTGTTCCTCAATTTTACACTCCAGTGTGCATTACAACCTGGTGTTCCTCAATTTTACACTCCAGTGTGCGTTACAACCTGGTGTTCCTCAATTTTACACTCCAGTGTGCATTACAACCTGGTGTTCCTCAATTTTACACTCCAGTGTGCGTTAAAACCTGGTGTTCCTCAATTTTACACTCCAGTGTACATTACAACCTGGTGTTCCTCAATTTTACACTCCAGTGTGCGTTACAGCCTGGTGTTCCTCAATTTTACACTCCAGTGTGCGTTACAACCTGGTGTTCCTCAATTTTACACTCCAGTGTGCGTTATAACCTCAGTTTCCTAACATTTCTTAACATAAGCCCACCCCCAGAACATTCCACATATTGACTGAGGCTTCCCACCCAATGAATCTATAAATACTTAGTACCTTAACAGTATTATGTATTTGCTATAGCCCTCCCCACCCCCTCTGCAACCCCCAATTTGGGAACCCCAGCAATACAAAAAACTCTAATAAAAGTTTGCTCTTTTACTTTAATAACATTTTTATAAAAATAGATATCTTGCATTTGTTTTGTTACAATAAATTGCGTATATTAATTAATGAATTTTTCTGTTCCATAATATGACCATCCCTTGCTTTAAATGAGTTTTAGTTGTCATAGAAGCCAGATTAGATTCTGCGTAGAAACATTATATTATTTAGAAGTACTTAAATTGTAAAATGACATATTTTGACTTTCTTAATTATTTACTAAATCTCAAGCATACAAAAAAAATGTTACACATACATATATGTGCGTGTAAGTTTCTAAACACTTCTGTGAAGTGGTTCTAATTTTCGGTCTGATTATCTCTTCAACCTTGAACTACGTGCTTAAGAGACAATTGATGAGAGTCGTATGTTCTTCTAGCCGTATGTGAGTGGTCGCTGCATGGATGTTTTGAAGTGGAAGCCTCTCAACGTGAATTCCATAGATTTCCGACTAATGATCAAGAAAGAACACAGGATAGCGTAAGTATACTGTTATTAAAATGTGTATCTAAACTAATTAATATACTCATTCGGATTTCTTTAATAAAGTGTTATATTTCTATGGAAACATTACATGAGCTTTCAATCTAAAATTATATATTTGTAATTCACAATATTTTTATATTATAGTAAGAAAAAAACCATTTTTGTATATTTTAAAATACTGTACATATATATAATATGAAAGCTATAGCCACTGGTTTTTAAAGAGAATAGGTGCATCCTCCTCCCCAGTGGTTCAGTGGTAAGTCTATGGACTTAGGACACTTAAAATCAGGTTTCGGTACTCGTGGTTGCCACAGCACAAATAGTCTGATATACTAGTAATGATAATGTCCGATTGACACACTAGTTATGATAATGTCTGACACACTAGTAATGATAATGTTTGACACACTAGTAATGATAATGTCTGATTGACACACTAGTAATGATAATGTCTGATTGACACACTAGTAATGATAATGTCCGATTGACAAAGTAGTAATGATATTGCCTGACATACTAGTAATGCTAATGTCTTACACACTAGTAATGATAATGTCTTACACACTAGTAATGATAATGTCTGACACAGTAGTAATGATAATGCCTGACATAATAGCGATGATAATGTCTGACATACTAGTAATGATAATGTCTTACACACTAGTAATGATAATGTCTGACACACTAGTAATGATAATGTCTGACACACTAGTAATGAAAATGCCTGACATAATAGTGATGATAATGTCTGACACACTAATAATAATAATGCCTGACATAATAGTGATGATAATGTCTGACACATTAATAACAATAATGTCTGACATACTAGTAATAACAACAGTATATTTCCTTGACAACATGTTTTACTTACTTCTTGTCAGTGGCCATAAAGCAGTATTTCCTTGAGGTCATGTTTGCTTGGAGAACAACCATGTTTGTGTTCCCTCCTTCTCCTATTATGCAACTTTCCATACACTGGCTAATGTCTTAGGACTATGTCTTCCAAGTTTGGCCAGGTGGTAAGGGCACTCCACTCGCAATCTGAGGGTCGCGGGTTCGAATCCCCGTCACACCAAACATGCTCGCCCTTTCAGCCGTGGGGGCATTATAATGTGACGATCAATCCCACTATTCGTTGGTAAAAGAGAAGCCCAAGAGTTGGCGGTGGGTGGTGATGACTAGCTGCCTTCCCTCTAGTCTTACACTGCTAAATTAGGGACGGCTAGCGCAGTAAGCCCTCGTGTAGCTTTGCGCGAAATTCAAAAACAAACTTCCAAGTTTATGATTAAGTAGACCAAAGACACAAAAGTCCGTTGGAGGTGCATCATGGGACTTGACAAATGTTTGTAATTAAACAGGATTTTGTAAATTCAGTTTCTTCAGCAGTCTTTATCATAAAAACAACCATTAATTTTGAGGTGTGGCTGAAAGCTTATGGGCCTTCCTGATCTTCCTATTCCTGTTTAATACTTTTTTTAAAGTTATCAAAAAATATATACAGCGACTTTTGTGGATTGGAAGATTTTCTTGTGTCACTATAGCTATAATTCTTGTACCTTATGGGTGAGAGTATTGATCCAGATATTGTTTGAGTGTAGTTTTAGAACTCTCTGCTGTTTTTAAACACATTCCTGTGCAAATATTTCCATTTACGTGGGAAACAATGAAGATTTCCTTTGAAATACGGTGTCCTTTGGTTCTATATCGTATAACATTCTCACTGTGTGGGGGTTTCTTTTTGAAAAGAGGTATATATATCCCTCTATAGCTGCAGAGAAGTTTTACAAACCTGGTCAGTGAGTTTTGTTTTTATATAAAGGATAAATGTCCGTTGTGTACTCATAGTCCTGGTAACATCCCAACACGTACAAGGAAGTGCTAACTAAGTTACATATATTTTCATAACCTTTAAATAACTTTTTTCATTGAAATAAATTTAATATAGTTATTAAAAACTTTTAAATTATAAGAAAGAAAGAGAGATACTTGGTATTTGTAGTGGGGTGGTGGTTTTATTTACCTTATCCTGAATCTGCATATTATACCCATCTCAGTGCAAGAAACCTGTAGATTTTCTTCCCAATTTTTAGGTGAAATATTAGGAACTGCAATAAAAATTCTTAGGTCATGATAGTTTATTTAATGAACTAATAAATCAAGCTTTATTAGTATTAGCAGTAATTGAACTTGTAAGATAAACATATTGTACTATTTAATTTATTTTAACAAGTTAACTTTAACGAGCTCTTTGATAGGGTTGTTTTAAGATGATGATATTTTAAATACTGAATATTAAGCAATTCATCCTAAATAAAACATAAGCATTTTATTTTATTAAAAATAATACACCTATGTAGTTGTTTTAAAACCCAAGATAATAGTTTAAATAAATTAAAAACAGATTGGAGAGTATACAAAAAGAAAAAGAAAATTGTAGGACCAAATCAGTAATTAAAGAATTACTTACAACTCCACTAAATCCTTTTTCTAATACTTGTTGTAGTTGCCTATAGGTGAAAAAAACAAAAAAAGATATAATATGTATGAAGAAAGGGTTAAATAGGTTCATGTAATATCTTTTTTTTTTTTACTGGTGATTACTTGTAGATAATTAAAAGCATTTTCAGAAATAGTAAATAAACTTCTGTATAAATGTGATTTATGGGGAAAATATTTATCAGAATTATTTTTAACTTTTTATTTATTTTTCTATGGTTAGAATTTTTCTGGGTTAATTATAACTACCTGCTGGTACCCTGAGTACGTACACTCCTGTACAGATTTATGTTATGATGAAGCAATTTGTGTTTGTTTTCTATCTCTGATTTATTCATTCTAAATAGAAAAAATTAGTTATCATTGCTTTCTGTTGCTATTATTTTATTTTGCTACAGTTTGTCACTTATGAATGTATATGTACAGTTTTTTTGGTCTCTGATTTATAATTCTACTTAAAAGCTGAGAATTTTTTTCAGATATTTGTTGATTAACTTTAAAGATACATTCATATAGAAGAGATTGTTTCATGAATTTTGTGTATTTCCCAGTATGTTGCCTGAAACAAAGGGCTACCTCTTTGTTGGTGGATGCGATCAACCATTTGCTGAAATTAAGGTCAGGTAGATTTTAATAATCTTTTATTACATTTATCAAAACTTTTGTTACATTTTCAAAGAAATTTGGGTAAAATTAATAACAAAAATATACATCAGTTTTTTTTTTCATCAATAGAATTACCCGTTATTTGTAAATTTATAAAAACTGCATAAACAAAAGTTTGTCATTGTGCAAGAATTGTTCAGGAAGAAAGAGGATTTTATTTTTTCCTACACTCAGTATGAGTTAATTTCTGTTTCCACTCTCAAGTTATGCTAAGAAGTCCTTACCTAACGTAATACTACCAGAACCCATTTTGTACATCTCTCAGTGACTGCAATTAAGGAGTTTGGATGGACAGTCCTTCCTCATCCTGCATATAGTCCCAACCTATCACTCGGTTACTTCTGTCTTGTTGGTTCTGTCAAGAACAGTCTACATAAACAACACTTCCAAATAGTAATGTACACAGTTGAAATTTGGAACTCCATGCTTACATTTTACCAAACTAACATAAGAAACTTCACAGAACAATAGTACAGGAAATAAGTATTACTTTAAGAAGTGGAATCTGGAGTGTCCACATCGTCAATAATATTAGTGTATGTTTATTGGTTATAGTGTAATAAGATGGTGCTTTTCGTAGTTCTTGTTCTGAAATATAAAGGTTTCATTCTCATGTACACACAAATTACAGTAGTAGAGTTTCTTATGTTTGTTTAGAAAGCTTAAAGTTGTTGGCAACCCGATTCTGATTTGTACTGTAAGATTGGAAGGAGACAGTTTGAAAAGTGGTTTGCATTAGGGAGAGAGTGAACCTCTTACTAAGGTCCAAATACCTCTAATTGCTATTATATGTGTAGTTTTCCAACTAGAAAAATTATAAAATTATCATAATATAGCTACTAAATAGGGGAAAAAATGTGTAACAAGTAATGTTAATGCACGTAATCAGTGTTGTGCAGAGAATTCTTCATTTTTTAAGTGTGTGTGTGCGTACATCTTGTAAACAATACATTGCAGAGACTGTGGCATGCCTGCCATTTTAGTCTGTCAAATGCAAATTTCCATGAGTAGTTCTATATTTTACCAAATGAACCTTTGCGATCTATGTTTTAAGCAATAAATGTATATCCACATTCATTTCACTTTGACCAGTCAGATGGCCACTATAGCATGGAACTCTACCAGATCTAAAATAAGGCTGAAAATCTGTCTGTCACATCACTAAGCCACACTTACAGTGGCCTGGTGCGTGACTATTTTCTCTATGTTGTTTATGGCTCATTATTGTAAGCATACATACAAAAGAAAGTAAACAAAGGATAGGAGCATTAGTAGCATTATTTACAATACTGACAAGTAATTAAAACATTCGATTACTGTACTAATATAATATAATCCAAGAGGACCTCCAAACTACTTCTTACAATTTTTTTATACCAATACACTAGTGAAGCGTCCACCTATGACTCAGCACATTTAATGTGCCACATCCACACAGGTTACTTAAAATTTTGATATGGAAATGTGAAGGGTGTTGTTGTTGTTGTCCCTCAAAATTTGCACCATGTTTCCTTAATTTTGATACAAGCGGACATGGATCTCTCAAATTGTAGAACCTAGGAACAACGATGTATGATATTTAGATTTAGATTTTTTAGACTTTTCTTTTAATTAAGTAATAAAACTGCAACAGTTTGGTTAGGCCTTTTAGGTATGATTACTAAATTTATATGAATTCAGTATTTTATCTGACGGAGCATTGTGTTAAAAGCATCATTTGTACATTACATTGAAGGGGGATTCTTAAAATATCCATAACTGAATGAATTTTTAAGTCAAAGAAGATGGAGTAATGAGTCAGTAGTTTAAAATAGGGAAAGACATGGGGAAGGCATTTTTTGTAGCTTCCCAGTTGGATCAACAGTAAGTCTGAAGGCTAATAACACAGCTAGCCCATCGTGTATGTTTGCACTTAACTACAGACAAACAGCATTTTTTATAGATTCTTGTGGTTTTTATTATAACAGGGATTGCCTATTGGAATCCCTGGGGTTTATCAAATTTGGTTTGTAGGATAAATCCACATTTTAAAAATCTCATGTGGTTGTAAATTTGAAGTATGATTATGGTTATTGCCTTCACTCGATGAGTGTCTATGCCATTCTGGAGTAGAACATTGGAGAAACATACTGAAATATAGATTGATTAGTATGTGTAACTATGTTGTGTGTATGTATGAAGTGTAACAGGTGGTGAATACAATATTAGATGTATATTTTAGTGTAATCTAAGTTTTATAATAACTCCCTTTTTTATGTTTTTAACGTGGGGATTCTTGGTGATTGCACAAAATTCCTCAAAGTGTTGCTACATCGGCACTCACTGTACAGAAGTGACTACTTTTACTTGCAAAGAAAAAAAGATTGGATCTTCCTTCCCAAACTGATTGGTATATCTAAATATTTTTCCTTTCTAGTAGATATTCCTCAGATTTAATTCCTCAAAATCACCATGAATATCTTTTACACAGGTAACAAAAGAATTGAAGAATTTGGACAAGAAAATTATTGAGTGTAAATATGAGGACAACCAGTGGAAATTTATGAGGGAAAGAACAGATAAGTCCTTTCCAAATGGGTATACAACTGCAATTGGTAAGTGCAAAAACGTCAATAGAGTCTTATCTTGTAAACACAAGTAGCAAAACAAGAAACATGTAAGGCCTAACTTATTAACACATTTAGTAGAAACAAAATTGTATAAAGACTAAGTAAAGCCATTAGCAGAGTAAAAACTATTTTCTTTGCATAATCAGTGAAAAGGGAAGTATATAAAAAAATGTTATGGTTTCTTCACAGTATAGTTCTGGGATCCAGAAAAAAGTTCATATAAATTATCGTGAAAGATTTACCTTGTTATACAGAATGAGTGAAATATTTCCATCAGTTTTCCTTATTGAATGAGATGAACTCTAAGAGTATAATTTTTTTTTCTTGTTTGTTTGAGACTGCCACCACCAATCACAGGATATTGACACAAGCCATTTTCACTTTGTCACTGTCATGTGAGGGTTTTAGAGCTGAAATAATATACTTGTATGGTGTGATTATACCTAAAGCATGCATAATAATAGGGAAATATTCAAGGAGCCACAAAATAGTAGGGCTGCTGGGAAGCCTAGCTCAACAAACTATGATGTATTAATAAAGTTGCATACAGTTAGGATGTACTGAGCACTTCTGAATGCATTTTTAGGTTTTCTTAGAAAGGGGTTCTTTTGTGCAAGTAGTCAACCACCTGTTTGTTAGTCCTACCTACACTTGGCTGTGCAGCATATGTCAGTTTGTAACAAGTGACCATTAATTTTTGGGAATAACTTCCTTAATCAAATCTATTTCTTATCAGCTTAAATATAGACATATATATATATATATTGAATGTAAATAAAAACTAGCTACTTCATAACATATTGTAACAATTACTCAATCCTTATGAAAGAATACATTTATTATCGTTCAGTATGCCATTATTTTCATCACAGTTGGTGGAACCAAAGTCAAGGAGTGTCTAATGATTCTTGGAAGTCTAGTAAATGTTTACCTGATGCCAGCTTTGAACCAAGAGAATTTGGCTTTTCTTTTTCTCTTTGAATTTTAAACTTGTTCCTTTTCTTTTCCTCGAATTTCATTGGCTACTTCCATAACAATCTGACAACTCAATCAGTAACTTAAAAAGTGCATAAAGGCTATCTCCTTATCACAGTCATCAAGGATAGTTTAAAAAAATGACAGTTGTCATGTTGGATTGTCAGAGAGCCCGGGTCTCTTCTATCTTTTGAAGCCTCTGGCCATAATGAATATAAAAAATGATGACACATGAAAAAAAAACATTTATTAGCCCAAAAGAAAATGGAAACATAATTTGAGTATTTTTCATTTATGTATTTATTAACATTATTTAACATTTAATAAATTCTTATCTAGCCTTTTTCTGTGCATAATAACAAGTTGTGAAACTTAACAAATGAAAAAAACAAACAAGTGTCTATATTTGAGGTTAAATTTGAGGTAAAAGGTTATCTTGTATCATTTATATAAATCATTTTAATTGTTTAACTTTTGTGTCATTATCTTTTCCAGCTGTATGCCAGAGTATCCAGGATCCAGTAACTACAGAGAGACTTCTTGATTTCATTGAGCACCATCGGTGGAAACCACATAAACGGTCCCATTCATCCATGTCAAACGAAGGAGAGATTATGCCCCCTCCAAACAAAGTCCCACGAAGATAATAACGTATTGGCCACCAGTTGTTTGCTTGTAAATAACACTAGGAACCCAATTTTATATTATGTATCTTATTTTCAAATGTAAGAATATAGTGACAGGTGCAACTTCACCTTGTTCCTATGAAAAGTGTTCTTCATTTTCATAAATGATTTTAAACACAGTGTGTGTGTGTGTGTGTGTACGTGTAGTCTACATCTTTATGAGTTGAATTATTACATGAAACAAGTAAGATAAAGAATCCTTTACAAGCTATGCAAAGTACATACTAGGAGGTAAAGCATTCATAAAACGGTCAAGTGTTTGTAAGTCCTGTTCTGAGCCTTGACTCTTTACTGCTCATCTGACTTGTCTGTATACATATGATATAACCCCAGCCAGTGATATATTTAGTGTAAACTTGACCTTTAGATTATATTACCTTATGTAGTTTTGTTACTTGAGATACTGAAGCTCAAGAAATAAGCTGGTGTACAGTAACTTGTTCTTAAGATTTGTTTTTCATCACAGAGTTCAATGAATTAACTGCTCCATATATATATATATGGTAAGCCATTATTGTATGCCTCATATTAAGATAGTTCTGTAAATTGTATTTGAATGTATTTGTCTCAAAGGGGTTTTTAATTATTTTGTACTGTATATATGGTGTATCTTCAAAACGTCTGCCATACTTAATATCTTGAAAAGATTAAAGTGAAGCATTTAATAAAACACAGTTTCTCCACTTACGATGTTTGTAACCATCACGAGGTTCTACATGTTCCTTCTCTCCATCCCTTAAAGTGTTAACCTGTTACAAAATTGGTGTTGAAGAAAAGGCCACATAATTTGGTCACTGTGTTTCTTCTCTTATAGCTGGAGTTTCTAGAGTAGACATTGCACAGAGTAAAAGATTAACTATTATACCAAACAAAGAAAACTATAAGAATCACTTTGTTTCACTAATATTACTGGTTAGTAAATTGTTGGAAAGATATTCTATTTTGTATTAATTTTTTTAACAAAAGTGTTCTATTATAGACCTAAAAATACACCACTTGATCACTGATTGAGAGAGGTACAACATTTTATTCATGAGTTTTACACACGTTTACCTTACAAAAATACAAATAAACAGTACAAGAAAAGAACTTACAAACCTAATGAATAATGTGCAAGCAAGCGTAGAAGAGTTTTTTTTTGGGGGGGGGGGCTATTCTGTTTTGTTTTGCTGAATTAGTTATGTTGAATTGTTAGGTATGGATTATTTAACTTATTTGTACTAAATAAACCATTACAGTTATTCCTAAGGATGTATTTATGTGTTTTTGTCAAGGAGCCTGAAGTAATGCAGGAGTCATGTTCAGTACTGATTTAATAATTATTGAAAGGTGTATGAAAAATCCGTGAAATTAAAACGTTTTTGTAGAGCGCCACCTAGTGATAGTATAATACAAGGTTTAACGTATTTATATACAGCTGTAAATGTTACGTACCCATTTAATAACCGACATATTTATCGCCAAAATTGATCTCCAGTTTTTGCTTTGGTTTTTAGAATCATTTCAGGTGCCCTGGTACGGATTTCTCACGTTATACAAATCTTTTTTGGTGGAATTCTCTGACCCTCATTTTACTTTTAAGTATAGTCAGCAGTGTAAGAAATGCCTCGTGTTGTATTATCTGCATTTTAAGATCGGGATTAAACCCGTAAAAATTAGCAATCATGATTTGATTAATCATATAAGAAAATTGAAAGAATTATGTCTGAAAGTAGCACTGGGGCGTTGCTGTGTGATTAGCGTGTTGGAAGGATGTTGGGTTCGAGCCGTGATATGCCGCTGACACTGCCTCGCACTTTCACCCTCACTTGATACAAACGAGATGACCTTGGTCAATCCCGTTATTCAGTGTGTGCTGCTGTCTGGTTCACCTGTCCTTCCCTCTGTTCAGCTTTTGTCTGTTAGAGACAGTTGTACCTGAACCTTAGGGTCTCTGACTTGGCTGATTAGCCAGTGTATACAGTTGAGGTTGAAAATACCAAAATATTGAAAATTATTTCTGAGTTTTGTTTTGATTTGTTTTTACAGCCTTCTTGAAACAGCTGTTCGAATATGTGTGGAATTATGAGGAGTAAAACTAAATAAATTGATATCACTTATAGTGACGCCATTAAAATATTATTTCTGCAGTGTACGTAATCATAGTGACGTCACTAAAAGTTTAAATTTAAAAAAAAAAGAACTTTAATTATATTTGTATTTATCTAACCGAAAAATCACTTGTTTGTAACAGGAATGAATACAAACAATATATATATATATACCGCTTGACGTTTCTTGTGTTAGTTTTGTGTTGCTGAATTACATCTGTATGCAATTGTTGCGTTAGAGATATCCGACTTCCACTTTTTTTTTAACCTTCTATAATAGACAGAGCTGCGACTACTTTCATTACTGTTCATTACCGCGAAATTAAATTGTGGAAACGAGTGTTGCTGTATTTCGAAGTTATCGATTATTCATGTTTATGTGACGACGTTTATTTTTGCTTAAAGTTCAGTATATGCCAGTATCGATGTGTATTCACATGGGTCAAAGTTAACGATGTAAATAAAGTACTAATTACTTTAAAAACACGTATAAACATGGTGTATTAATATTGTACAAGTGTTTGTGTATTGATTTTATGCGAATTGTTTGTATGTTTTATTG